AACTCTCTTGTACTTAGGGCTAGCTAACGAACATAAACCAAGCACACACCAATTTGCTGGAATCCTTACAGAAGTCACCCACAGACTGAAGCATGTCAGTATAAAATGACAACTTTATGGCTGTCCACATTGGCAGGCAAACCATAAGTCACAGAAGAATACAGGAAACAGCAGTTAGAAAACCTGTTACGTAGGCCCTCAACACCCTCACTAGACCCTCATCCATTCTTAAAATTTCTTAGAGCTTCTCAATAGAATTCTGTGGCTTGACAGGTATTTTCCCTCCATTTTTAGTAAACAGAAACCACAAAGATGAAACACTGCATTCTCCTTTATAATTTTTCTGAGAGAAGGAAGGAAATAAAAGAATTGTTGAGCCCTAAACTGCTAACAAACAACTGTGCTGAACAAGGCTTTGTGGGAAATATAGTTACTTCCACTTTTCTCTCCTCCTGTCACCAGGACTGTTTCATCACCCCAAATCTCAGAAACTGACATATCCTTCATCTCTATTATTACGTTGCTTTCCATGGCGACCTAATATAATGGGTAAAGGGCTCTCCAGAAGTTATTTTCCCAGTTCAGAAGTCCCAGCTGTGCACTGTCAGGAGACAGCACATCTGTGACTTCTTCAGCAAGTCCCAAGTGTCCAAAGAGCACGTGGCTTTGGCCAGTCACCATCCCCAGCCAATATTCTAATTATTTGCTCATGCCCTAAGTGAACTCTCAGTGTTGATGGACACATTCTGTTGGAAAACAATAGAGTGTTTCCAAGTTTACAAGGCAAACACTCCACGCACCTCAAATTCTGAAATAAAATGATAACTCCATTGTGCATAACAGAATTGCATTGTTGCTGGCCAGTGCTACAAGCAGGGAGGATACCTCATCTGCCGCCCCTCTTTACTCAAGGCTTGCACTGAGCGACACCTATTAGAGCTCTTTGCAGAGACCTTGAGCACAAAATAGCAACTCTATTTCTTACAAGCGTTTTAAAAACTGTCTTTTTCAGCCATATCAACTCCTGTGAGAAACAATGAAACTGCATAAGCTGAATATTTTTAATGTTTAATAACTTCTGGATTAAAGGCACAAGGAAAAAATGAAAGATTTCTTATATTAAAAACAATAAAGTTATCTACAATGTGGAGATTTCTTTCTAATAATGAACTTAAAACCTAGTCAACATTCTTAACATTATGATTGCAAGTCACTTTCAAATAATAGTGTGTGCACACAAAGTACCAATCTAACATGGAACAGATTAAACTGTTCTCATGAAAGTGAACTATTTTATAAATAATGAGTGGGGCTTCTTTTAGTTCACCTTTAACAGAAATAGAACGCTACTTTTAACTCTATGTTAMTGGGTATGTTACAGCCAGCTAAGTATACATGCCTGTCCATAAGTGGCATATAAAACATTATTTGTTCTTATACTACCATAATGCACAAGAAGTTGTGGTAACAATAAGCAATACTATGTTCTCAGAAACAAATCTCTGTTTACTACAAAGCTACCTTGGTTTGGAAAAAATTCATTCTCAGGCCTGCTTGCCACCTGAATAAAATTTACAGCTGGAACAAGACCAAGGCCTATTTTACTATTGTGTTATGAAGAAGTAACAAATTCCTAATCTAAAGTCAAAGCAGGTGAGAAAGAAAATGACTCAAAATAGCAAGAGGCAACAATGTAATTTACACCAGGCTATTGATAAAATACATTCAGACTTGTAAAGTGTGGACTTTGTGTGTCAGACTGCTTCATGTACTATGTACACATCCAACATATGAGTAATTTTAAAGCATCCAGAACTAACAAATGAATTCAAAAACGGTTCCTAAAGGACAGTTTGAAGTCATTACCGATTACAATCCACTGCTCTTAAAATACGAACTTTTTAAACTTTTTTTTTTAAATCATTCTGAAGTTTCACTATTTCCTCACTAATTTAGAGGAATTATGACCATAATTTGTGACAGACTCTCACATCACGTGAGCAGAAGTTACTAGGAAAATTCGGATGAAATTCGGATGATTCCTACATAACACATTGCCTCTTACTAAAATAAGCACGTGTCCTATCATTTAAACATAGAATGCAATGTTTCATTGGCTTTAGGCTACCACAGGAAAAACATTGCAAATGAAAAGCCCTTCTGAAGTTGGGTTCCAACTTTTTATTTAACACTGCATCCCTAGTTTCAAACCTTTAAAATGATTCCCTCCCTATTCCTCCTCAATTCTTCTCCATTCCTCTTTATTTACTTTAAAGATCCTAATAGCAGGGAAAAAAAATCCACTAGAGAAAAGCAAGATACAGTTTCACAATTCAAAGAAACATTCTACTGTACCACAAACAGCCACTAACCAAACTTTTTGTGAATTTAAGCAAGCAATTACAAACAAGAATGATTTCAACTACTTCTAGATTTTAGAAATTACACATAAAACATCTGCTATGCAATATTAAATGCTTAGAACTTAAAATATTTTCAGACAAAAATACCCCCTTGTCACAACAGTCCTGTTCCTGAATACTTCACACAGGCAAGAGATTCCTCCCCTCAAGGAAGCACCAAATGCAGCAATCATTTTGTCTCATCTCAGTGAAAGGAGAGTTAAGTATAGCCCATTACCTCTGGATATCTTAACCAGGTTATCATTATGTTAAGCCATGTAAATAAAGCCACTCCTGACATCTCTGCATAGGAAGGACTTTGCTCCACAGTAAAATTATTCCAGGGTCAAAGCATTCAGACATAGCACAATATGCCAAAGTCAGCTGAGGCTTTAACATTAAAGAAGTCCCAGACCATTCCCACTATTGGGGAGATATATTTACATATCTGAAAGATAACATGAATATACTTTAAAGAGACAAAGGGTCTCTAAGTCAGGCACCTATATAGCTTTTTTGGAGCCAAGGTCTTCCAGAATGGAAGCTTAAAGCACAAGCCTTTCAGTAATGTCCCTGASTAGTCTGCTGCCCGCAAATAAAAAAGAAGCTGTAATTCTTTGAACTTCTAGAACAGAAATCACAGTTTTATGAACAAAATGCCTGCAAGGTGGGAATACAGTACACAATAAGCTTCTTCAACATATTATAGACTACAATATAGCCTATACCAACATTTAAAGAAAAGAGCACTTAACTCAAAATATGAGGAGAGCGCCTTTCATAAAACATTCACACTCATCCTAAAGGGACAGGTGAAGGCTCCTTAAATCACCATCCAGATTAAGTTAACAAAGAACCGCATACCTTCTTAACAAATAGTCAGAACGAAAGCAATACTATTAAGATACATAATGAAGACTCTTCAGCTAGCTACAATACTGTTAAGATACAACCAAGACTCTTCAGCTAACCACTAAATTAAAAAGACAGCACATTTAGAGGGGAGCTTTTCCATATGGATTTAATAAAAGGTAACTATCAACATGCAATGCCATGTACTGAGCACCACTGTCCCTAAACTAACTGCAAACTAAACTCTAAGTTGTCTTAGTTTTACTGAATTACACTACTTCCATTGGAGACAACAAAAAGTAAAGTTTTCTAAATGATCCTTTTCATAATCATCCTTTAAATCAGCAAGTAAACRGAAGATACACTGTCAGCTTGTTCTCTCTCCACCTGAAACTCCCATCGATTGATTGCTTTTCCTAAAACTACACAATTTAACTTGGTCAAGCAGGAACATAAGCGCTCAGAAAGGCACAGATCTTGCTTCGTATTTTCTGAAACATTTTTACAAGGCTGAGGCAACTTATTTGGAGAGAGAGCATTCACAGATGCAGAGGGCAGCTGTTTCACAAAAGTATGATAGAATAAGCACTGCTTAATACACACCTCCCAAGAATCCCAACTAAAAACAGAGAACGATGATGCCAGCGGAAATCAGTCAGTTCTCTCACTCTAAATGACAGTTCTGATAATTACGGATGGTTTGGAAAGGTGGGTGGCCTAATAAAAAAGGGCCCGAGGTGCTGTTCTGCCAGCCTTGGCCGCACTGCCGAGTTTTCTAAACTACCTAGGAAATTGCAACAATTAGGTTTCAGTTTGCCGAGCACAAAGTGATGCATCCGAGCAGAGCAGATGGAGCAGCAATAAACCAGAAGTTTCACACGTGGGTGCCCGTCTCCAGCGGGGCCAGGGCAAGCGCGAAACAACGCGCTGAGGAAGCAAAGGACAGAGACCAAGTCCTGACCTTCCCCCGCGGATGCTGCGGGCAGGACCCCACCGTGGCGACCTGTGCTCGCAGGAAGGATCAAGCGCCTCGCAGAGCGGCAGGGAAGCGCGAGCCGGGGGCAGCGCGGCCGCGGGCCCTCGTGGCCGGCGCGACGCGCAGGTCCCCGCGGCGGCCAGGGCCAGGGAGCCGGCGCTGCGCCCCCAGCCCTAAAATGGAGGTTGGAGTCTGTGTGTGTG